TCTAAGTAAGAGTTTGTTTTTCTTCCCTATTTGTAAAAAATCCTTACGTTATTAAAACCAAAACAACTTTTATGAAGTTTAAATTCGCAGGACTGTGTTATCATAACATTTGGTTTTTATGAAAACAGTTTAATGCTTTTCGATAGTTCAATCTTTTGTTACTTATTATGTGTATATATAAACAAACTGCATCATCATTCGCTGTATCGGATTTTTAGGTCCGATTTTGTTGGACCTGAGAGGGTCAGGTGCACAAATTACAGCTTTTGCTTAGCCTGTTTTGAATTTCGAGTAAAGCTACACGAGGCCTTTCTGTGCTAGCCGTCCCTAATCTAACAGTGATAGACTAGAGGGAACGCAGTTAGTCAACACCACCCACCGCCATCTCTTAGGCTACTCATTTACCAACGAATAGTGGGATTGACCGTCACATTATAATGCCCCTACGACTGAAAGAGCCTCCCAGTGGCACAGCGGTATGTTTGCGGACGTACAATGCCAGAAACCGGATTTCGTTACCTGTGGTGGGCAGAGCTCAGATAGCCCACTGTGTAGCTTTGCGCTTAACTACAAATAAACGACTGAAAGAGCGAGCATATATGGTGACGGGGATTCGAACCCGTGACCCTCAGATTGCGAGTTGAACTCCTTAACCAACAGGCCATGATAGGCCTACTGCATTCTTTATTAGAAAATAAGACTGATAAAAGATTGAATGTTTGCATTAAATCTGAAAGATATTTAACCAAAATGAATGGAAAACAGGACAATTAATGATAAAATTAATTCTAACGTAGCATAAATTTGTATTTTACAATATAATTTATTACTTAATTTGAAAATATATATGTTTCCACGATCAACATATTGCCACATCAGGTGACGCTTTGCTATTTCCCATCTGTTTGTTATAAAAATCAAGTGTTATATTTCGAATAACGTATTAGATTTATAAGAATAAAACAATGTATTGTAAAATGTAGTTCATGCTCTAAATAAATCAGAAATAAAAACGACTTACTCTCAGATAATCACTTTTCACTAAAGTTTTGTTATCTTTGCTGTAGTTAAGTTTCTTTGTTTTCAGTTTTTACAGATTTTCACTAATTACTTCCGGCATTTTAAAAAAATTTCTCTGCCGGTTTTAAAATTACTTAAATCTCGATTTGGCTTTATTTGACTTTGGTATAAAACTTCTCTAAAAGTCTGTTGTTTTTATTCTAAGGAAGAGCATTCTCTATTTTTCTTGCTTGTTAAAATTGATTGAGTCTTATCAAAGAAGCGACTGTTTGGGTGTTTCATAAAAAACACAAACATATAAGTACATCAAGTCTTTTGTTGTTGTTGTTGTTGTTGTTGTTTTCAATTTAAGAAAAACTGTTACATGTAAACATCATTACGATTGTGACAAAAATTAATATCATTTTTTTACAGACCAACACTACTACACTTTGAAGTTTGGTTTCTACCCACCGATTCATATTTGTAAACTTAAAAACTTAAATATTCCATAGAAACCGTGAAAAATGAAATAAAAACCAACAACAACAACAAATAACCGAATATATAGTTTAGGATATCAAACTACTTCAATAATATTTCCTGGAATATAATTGCTCTATTTTGGCAACTCCTCATTTACATATAATAATAATAGTTACAAAACTACACATGGATGGTTTGAAAACTATCTTAAGAAGAAACGTACAAATATATATTATACGTATTTTACACAAAAATACTTTATTTCAATCTGCACTTTTATATTATAACCAACAATCCTTTTAACCCTAATTAAATGTAATCCGTTCAAAAATGCAATTTTATGTTTCTGTTGTTTTCTGCTTTATTGACAATTGCCGCTATATATCAGCTATATATATATATCAGTGCCTGATGCATACCTAACGTCAGTCGGATTTTTAATGTAAAAGGGTTCTTTCGAAACTGCTCCTCCCCTAGTGGCTCTGAGGTAAGTATTAAGATTCAAACCGCAAAATACATACTCATAGTGGGCACAGCACAGATAGACCATTGTGTAGCTACGGACTTAACAACAAACAAACATTTGGAAATCGTGTATTCCGTATGACGGCAAGCGTGAGAAAGAAAGTATAAACTTTTAGTGTTTTGACCTCAGTATTTTTTTATATAAACGGGTTAAATGTGTTAGAGAATATATTTTTCTCTTTTAATCAAATTGTATGTAAAATAATAGCTCGAGATATTTGTCCAAAGAAAATTGATCTTCAAACAGTTAAGACCTGATCGAAGGACAAAAAAAAAACATGGTGGGAGTGACCTTGTATTTCGAGATTAACAAATAGAAGCTCAAAACGATTGGACATCGTTGTACAGGCGGGTTTGAGCCTTTCACTCTAGAGAAGCCCAGCATTCCCACAGGCAAGAAATAATGGAGGGAACTGCCATGAAAGTAAGGTTGCACGGTAGGCTTAGTGGAAACGCTCTATGAAGCTCACTGATTGGCAGGGGATATTGGTCAGAGAGATATTGATTGTACGTTCTTAAGCCCTTTTTTTTTCCCCTTAAACACAAAATTCACTTTCGGTAAAACCAATTATATACATTTGAACCATTGATTTGTGAAGTAGCTTATTCTGAGAAATATAGTTTTGAAATTAAATAAAAAACTGAAACTTCACATTTTTTACCATTTTTTGTAATCTTTATTATTAAATAAAGAAATGAAAACCAACTAAAAATCATCATAAAAAGAAAAGTCAAGAACACCAAAACTCAAGAATGGTAACATTACACAGTAATAGTATTACGGGTATAATAGCTTTTAAATGTTCTTGAAATGAAAAACAAAATTTATTCTGCTACCAATTTCAAGAAGAAAAACATTTTTCGAATTAGTTGCACTTAAAAAAAAAGTTAAAAAGAAATGAGGGATTTTTTGGGAACTCTTTTACTTGCACCCCCCCCCACCCACCACCACCACCACCCCCACCCCCCGGTGGCACAGCGACAAGTCTGAAGCTAAAAACCGGATTTAGATCCCCACCACCCCCACCCCCCGGTGGCACAGCGACAAGTCTGAAGCTAAAAACCGGATTTAGATCCCCGTTGGCTGGCAAAGATAATGTAGCTTTTTTCTTAACTAAAGCAAGGTTTTGTTGTAAGAGTAATTTGTATTTATTTTTTTACGTCAGATTGCGAAGGTATTAAATTTTTCTTTATTTCAGTGAGTATTGGTAGTTTCAATTTGAACGGCACCTACATGGGCTAAACAGCCAGGTCTAATATCCCTAGGGTTCAGGAGTAATCGCTTACAGATATACTCACCACAGGCACAAGATAACCTTCCGCCTCAAGGTATTTGTTCATCTTTAAACCGAATAACGGAATTAGCTGTCATTTTTGTAACGTACTCAGAGCTGAAAGTGCTAAATGTCCTGCCCATTTTAGTTGGAAAATGCAGAACGATAAATAACCTATTTGTGATCACACTGAATACGTTAGTACGAACAATGAACCAATTCCTAAGTTACGAAAATAACACCACAATGTCTAGTGTTAATGTGCGATAAAAATAAAGCTCCGAGTTGTAGTAATCACAAACACATCAAAATATGTAGTTACACGCACAATGTTATATAAATCTATCTCACTCTTTTCACTGCAAGACATAATAACAAATTAATTTATTTTAAGAAAAAACTAGTTATATCTCATCGTTGTTTTTTATTTTATTGTTTGTTTATTGGGCTGAACTATCAAACAAAAACAAATCAACCTCAAGTATGTTGCTGAGACTAAATGTCGACAGTGCATGCATCATTTATACACTTATCTATATCAAAATACCTTATTAGTTGTAATACTATATAAATAAAATGGCTGTTACCTAACTGGTGGGAAATGTAGATGAATTGTCCCCACCGGGACAGTCTTATATCCATTACATAAAGGACATATGTGCTTAATGATCATGCCAAACAGCCACATAATACACTCCGAATTAAATATATAAAGGTATACTAATCACAACAGAACTGTTCTACAATTTAATAAAAGTTGGTTTTGATATAAAATACAATATAAAAAGAAACATATTGTTCTATTATGCATGACCTTGGGAAATGTATGATTGATATCTGCTTTCATATATTTACACCCTGCTTTATAGCAAAAACAACGTATAAAGATGTAATGCAGAAATTCAAAAATTACCATTTTTCTTACTTTGTTACGAAGTGCTTCTGCTACCTACCTTAGAAAGTCTGTGATCGCCTTTAAGCGCTTCGTAAACGCTTTCCGTTGATGCTATAATAGTCCAGCTGAGCATGAGACCTAAGACTAGTGCTAACTTCATTTTTTAATTCCTAAGATGGAATGAAACTATCAGATACTGTGATGCTCTGGAAACCTATTTTCTGATCTGTTGGCTTCACGCAGTGTTAAGTAGTTATGGCGACCAATATTTTGTCGAAATCCTTTACAAACGTGTGGATTTAAAACTCTGCACTCTCTTACAGCACTACCTATCAAAAAGTAACGTTACTCAGTTCTGTCACCAAAAACAGTTGACGCCTCCAAGGAAAGCAGTAAAACAATGAACCTGGTAGGTTACCAGCGAAGGGAAGTTTCAGGCAGACTCTCCACAATCTGCCGCGCCAGAGGGAATCCTTCTTCTCCTTCTGCTCAGCTATTCAACCAACCATAGGCGGCGCCACCGATATGGTCGGCCGCTAAAGCGTGCATTTGATTAGTACCACGCCCGTACTGTATTTTCAGAAATGACAACAATTCTTTTCCTGTCTATAATATTTTAAACTGTATTCCGACTTTTGAATTTTAATATTAGTTACTCTAATATATACATGTATATATACACACAGTAAGTGGATACAACTTATACAAGTTATCTGTTAAAGTATTAAAAGTGTTCGTGAGAACCACCTTCTCTTAACACGAAATTGTTTTATTCTTCTAAGTTATAATTCTGAAATGTATTTTATTTTGTCCTTCTTTTCAATATTGCTGCCAAAACTTTTCTCTTTTCCTAAGAGATTTTCTGAATGTTAAAAACGTTCTCGAAATAAATAGTGCTGCCCTCTAAGAATCAATATCTAAATAAAGAATGTAAAATAATTCTAGCTTATAACTCTCCTCTTCGTATCTTATGAATCATAATATTTCAATTAATTTAAAATAAAATTATGTTTCAAAAATATATAGATATTTGAAGCGATCTCAAGTTATCTATTATCAGTTTTATAGTGAGATACGACACGAATTACAAAATTGCCTCATTCTAAAGGTTATATAGACACTCACAGTTTATGAGACTTTCAAAATATCATTATTTATTAAGTGTTGTATATGGAAGTCCAGGTGTCAAGTGGCATTCGTGTTCCTGAAATTAATATCATATTAGCATATAATTCTAGTTGAACCTATTAGTCTATTGTGGCTATAGATATGGATAAATGGATATAATGGCTTATTTCTTGTATACTCTATATCATACTTAAGATATACAGTTTCTTAATTTAAAGTATGAGTAACCAGGTCTGTATATCAACTATATCACATAGCTTAAATATTGCTATATAAATTTCAATTGTTTTCAAAGTTTACCTCTATGTAGCAAGTATCTTGTGTGGTTAAATAGTAAATGAAATTTGATTTTTAATTTCTCGAAGAAACATTCATGAGCCACAAGCAATATTTTCTAATAAAATATACATTAGAATTATTTAAGTATTAATTGCGTGTACTTTCATACCTCTTTGTAAGCAGAGCGAGTGAAATAAGCCCTGTTTGTGTTTTACTTAACTAAGTGTATATTAAGATCTCAGTCGATTTCTGTATTATTCCACTAACTAGCGAATCCGTGGTCCTACCTCCCACATTTACAGGCCGCTATAATTATAATGAAAATTTAATGCTTGAACAACCATTTTCTACGTTTTCAGTTTAATGATCATTGCAGCTGTAATGCAAATTTAATTTCTTTGCCCCTTCAACTGCTGTTGAAATCATATGATGCCAGTGTAAGTGACTGCGGTTGACATCATATGATGCAAGCATTTTTGCGCGCAACATTTTGAATGGCCCACCAGAAAAATTCGCGAATTTTTGCGCATGGGGTGGTAGGTCGATTTACAGAAGCCGCAAACAAAGGATTAACCAAGTTACGAATGGTAATTAATAGGCCTATTTATTTACGTGCTCTAATGTAAATCAATGTCAAATATGGGGTCCGCTTTCGGGGAATCCCCGTAAGAGTGTTTTCGCGAAATACCAGGATTCCATAAGGGGTTAGGGGAAAAGTTTTACTTTGTGCAAACCTCGCGGTCGAGACAATTCGTTTGGCACGAGTTAGAAGTTGGTGAATTCAACAGTTTAGGAGAAGGGTTTGGGGAAACCCCTGGCTTCCCCAAGTGATGTGGTGAAAATATTTGCCCTTGTGCAAACTTTGGGACCGAGACGATTCGTTTGATATTATTTATTAGGACGTCAAGAAATTAATGTCGCATTTTGGAACACTTTCATTAACCACTCACCAAAAAACGTATATCACATATAATAGTTAAACGAACCGCCTAAACGTCACGTTAGTGTAGCCTATATAATGTGTTAAGTTTAGTATACTCTAATCCCTTATAGTGATAGCACACGACGAGACACACATTCGGTATGTAATGCTGTTTGAATACAAGAAGAGAAACAACACCTCTGTAGCCACAAAAATATCAAA